GATCTGCAAAATTTAAAGTTCAGTTCAGGTTCAGTTGAACTTGAACCTGAACCTAAATTGAACTGAACTGAACTTTGAAACACTAACTCCAACACCATTGTTTGATAATGAATCACAACTAACACTCTGCGAATATATGAGAAGATCAAGAACAAGAGGCAGTTGACCAAAATCACTGACTAAAACAATTGAACACCCACCAAATAGTTGATTTTTGTTCTCAGGAAATGCCTGCCATAACTTCATGTCAATTATAGAGAGCATGCAGTGTCCAACCATACTTTTTTCATCAATTATTATATATCTAACACCGTCTAGTTTTTTTTGTAGCTGCTTTAAACACTTGCCAGTTATTTCAAAATTATTGCTACTTACCAGAATAGACAGTGCTAATGTATAGTCATTCCATGAATATAAATGCTGCAACTCCAGTAGGTGCGAGCACAATTACAGGAGAACTATCAATACTATTTTGCTTTGCTAATTCTTGAAGAATTTGCCAAATTGTATTAATAAGGTATGATTTACCAGTCCCCACAGTTCCCATGATAATAACTCTTAATGGATCAATATTACCACCTGTAATAGTGATATCATAGTGAGATTTAATTCACTTAAATATTTTTATTTGCTTTTCATTTAATATTGTACAATCTATAGTATCGTTTTCATTAGTAATAGCTTCGTTGTTACAACATTGCTGCATAAATGTGTCCACATTAGCAAGATCAAGGTTTGGATAATGTTGTCTAACATCTTCAAACCAGTCATGACTTCGATCAGTATTTCTTAACCCAAGATCAGATGAAATATCAATAGTGGAGTTTGGGCCCATTTCTGACAAAATTATTCAATCTGGTCAAATTTCATTATCGTCTTCATCTGTTTCTAGCTGCTCACCCTCATCATTCTCAACTTCTTCTTCTATGTTATCAACTGATGGTTTGAGCAAATCATCAAGTTCATCTTCTCTTTCTGCAAGATGCCTATTAAAAAGTTCTGATCATGAAATAGTGTTGCTTTCCATTAATTGCCCAACGCTTTTATAACAAACATGGAGTAGAACTTTTATATGACAGAACTCTTCCTATTGAAGACTATTTTATTGAGAGAAAGGTCTTGGCCAAATGTGTATGATACTTTCATAATCATATTTCCTCCAAACACCTTTATAAAATCTATATCTCTGATATAGTTGAAATAGAAAAAGATTTTCGAATTTGACTGCTCTAGTCCAGTATTTTTGTAATGGTGATTGTTCTGTTTGCCCAACTTCGCTTGTATCAAAATTATCATTTCCAGTACCATGAAGCAATCGGGGTGTTCCTTGTTAAGGTTTAAGATAATGAAGCAATGACTTGAATGATAAAGAGGAATACTAAGAAGAAGATGACATGTTTCCTGTGCAGATATATCTCATTTGGCAATAGTTTGAAGTAATAATCTTTGAAAGGTGCCAAGAGCAGAATTCGAGCGTCTACTGTCACAAAGAATCTTGTTTAATATTTTTGCAAAAGTAGCAGAATGTGATTCTGATTTACTCACATATTTAACAACATATTGTAGTACAGCATTGTTATCCTATATCCACTTTTTTTAAAGATAATAGGTAACTAGAGCGACTGTAGCTAGTAAATACTTTGTGTAATGTCCTGAGTTACTGTATTTTAACTAAGTCGGTATGGCATTTTTACAAAACTTAACAAAGAAGATTTAAGGCAATTTGC